CTCAGTCATCGCCGACTCCAACTTCCTCCCCCTCCAGCCCACCATCCAAATCTCCGACGCGCGCGGCAACCGCGTCTCCTCCGACTGCTACACCTCCTCCTCCTCCTCCTCCTCCTCTCCTCCTCCTCCTCCTCCTCCTCCTCCTCCTCCCTCCTCCTCCTCCTCCTCCTCCTCCTCCTCCTCCTCCTCCTCCTCCTCCTCCTCCTCCCTGTCTTCCTTCCTTCTCGTTCCCTTGTTCTCCTTCCCCTTCCTTTCTCCTCCTTCCCTTCTCCGCTCACCTTCTCTTCTCTCTTCCTGCTTCTCTTCCCTTTCCCTTTCTTACGTCTTCTCCTTCCCTCATTCACCTTCAGGCGTTCTCAGTCAAGAAACCCGTCAGAGCGCTGGTCATCGCCCAACAGCCTGTGGCCGTCCAAGGTCAAACTCTCGAATTTGACTCCTTCGCTCCTACTGCCTCCCAATTTTCTCCTCGTATCATGAACTTTCAAGTTCCCTTCTTACATCGCCTCTTCCATGACTCGCCTCTCCTCCTACTCTCCTCTCCTCCTCTGTTCTCCTCTTTCCCCTTCTACTCTCTCCTCATCTCCTCCATCTCATCTCTGTGACTTGATCGTCGCCTCAGCCGGTCTTCCTCTCAAAGCTGCCAAGATCAACTGCAACGATGAGGATGGAAATCTCGTTGACCTCTCGCGTATCGCCGTCGATGCAAAGATTGAGCTGAACCCAGCCAACCTGCAGGTGCGATCTCATCCTGCTCCATCTCATGCTCCATCTCCTGCTCCATCTCCTGCTCCATCTCATGCTCAATCTCCTGCTCCATCTCCTGCTCCTCCTTCTGGTCCTCCTGCTTGTCCGCCTGCTCCTCCTCTAGCTCCTCCAGCTCCTACTCCTTCTTGCTTCTCCTTCTCTACCACCATCCCTTCCACAAGCAACTCCGTTTTCTATTGCTACATCTATTGTCTGGTCCTTCGCTCAGTGCCTTCCTCCTCCCTTATTCGTCTCCTCCTCCTCCTACTACTACTACTTCTCCTCCTCCTTCTTCTCCTCCTGCTTCTCCTCCTGCTTCTCCTCCTGCTTCTCCTCCTGCTTCTCCTCCTGCTTCTCATTCATCTTCTCCTTCTCTGTTTCTCTTTCTCCTCAACGACATTGCAGGAGCACGACCCGGGTCAGTCGGACCTCACAGGAACGTTGCAAGAGAGAGCTAATGGCGGGGTTGCGACTTTCAACAACCTCATACTGAACAAGGTAAGCGAGAGAGGACGAGGAGGAGGACGAGGAACAGGAGGAGGGAGGACGAGGACGAGGACGAGGACATGTTAAGGATCTATGGTGGATGAGTGGTGGGGGGAAGGACGAGGATGGAGAGGACGGGGAAGCAGAGGATTGAGACAAGGAGGAGAAGGAGGAGGAGATGGAAGGCAATAATAAAGAGAAGAATGAGCTGGAGGGAGAATGAAGGGGAGGGAGGAGGAGCAGGAGGAGGAGGGAGGAGGAGCAGAAGGAGGGAGGAGGAGGGAGGAGGAGGGAGGAGGAGGAGGAGGAGACTTACCAGGGTTTGCAGGCATCGCTGGGTCAGAATTTGACTCTTGTAGACTTCAAGATTTCATTTCAAGCTGCCGGAGCTTCAGTCTCCTCCCTTGCCTTCCAAGTGCTCCCAGGACCTTGGACCAAACTCTTCCTCCCCAAATTCGGACAGGTCCTCCCCCTCCTCCTCTTCCTCCCTCCTTCGTGATCATCCTCCTCCACCACTACCATCTCCTCCTCGTTCTCCTGTTTGTCCTCCTCCTGATCCTCCTGCTCCTCCTCCCTACCTTCGTTCCCTCCCCACGCTCTTGCTTCAGTTGTTTCACCTCCGCGTCTTCATTTCCTCCATCTTGTTCGTAGTCTTCCTCCCACATCTTGTCATTCTGGCTCAGCTCTGCTCTCTTTCTCTTCCTTCTCCTCGTCTCGTCTCTGCCCTGCTTGTTCCTTATGCAAGTTTTACAGCCCATCGGAGGAGAAGCGGGAAAAGTTTTAGTCCGGCAGGTGACCGCAGCACACAAAGAGGGGAGGTGGAAGGAGGGAGGAGATGGTGGCGGTAGAAGAAGGAGGAGGAAGAGGAGGAAAAGTTGTGGAAGCGAGAGATTGGAGGGAAAAAAGGAGGGGAAGAGGCGATAGGAAGGAGCGCAGGAGCGTTGGAAGAGAGGATGGGAGAACGCGAGGAAACGTAGAGAGGGAGGAGGAGGAAGAAGTAGAGGAGGAGGAGAAGAAGGAGGAGATGGAGGAGGAAGTGAAAGACTTGTGACTTTGGTGTTAGCCTATGGTTTATCTCGTGGATCAGTGGAACAACCGAGTCTGCGATGGCGCTTCTCTCGCTTGCCCAGCCAACGCGTCCGATGGGCTGCTGGTGTTTGTGACCCTTCAGGCGCCTGCTGCCGTGCAGGAAGCGAATTCATCGGTGAGGAGACTTAAGAGGAGAGGAGAGGAGAGGAGAGGAGAGGAGAGGAGAGGAGAGGAGAGGAGAGGAGAGGAGAGGAGAGGAGAGGAGAGGAGAGGAGAGGAGAGGAGAGGAGAGGAGAGGAGAAGAGAGGAGAGAGAGTTTAGGGGAGGGGAGGGAAGAGGACCAGAGCGGAAGGAAGGGAATGGAAGGGGATGGGAGAGAGGACGAGAGAGGAGGAGAGGAAGAAGAGTGAAGTGTAAAAGTTGATTGATCGGTGTCTTTGTCTTTGACTTTTTTTTTTGCAGCTTCTGCTTCAAGACAGCTGCGACCTAATCTGCGAGGGTCTGCGACCCATCAAATGTAGGAGTTGTCAATATCACAACGCGACCGTTAAAGCTGGTAAGTCCTCGTGTTGTTGTCAAACTCTCTGTCGTTTATATCCTTGCATTCATTTCTCCTCCCTTCTCTTCCCAGCTTCCTCTACCTTCCTCTGTCCCTTTACCTCTGCCTCCTCTATCCCACCTGCTAGCCTCTCCCTCGTCTCGTCTCTTGTTCTTCTCGTTCTTGTCCCTCTCCCTCTCCCTCTCCCTCTCCCTCTTCCTCTTCCTCTTCCTCTTCCTCTCACCTGCCCTACCTCCTCTCACCTTCCCTCCAGGCATCGCCAGCTTCACGGATCTTCGCATCGATCGAGCATGCGACGCAGCTTGCGGCGGCTTCTCCTTCACCTTTCAGGCGCAATCAGTGGCGGCCACTAGCGACATCTTCTTCATACGCAACTCAGCTCCAGACTATCCCGTCATGTTGACTACCATGGCAGTTGACAACCCTGCAGACCAGGCCCTCCTTGTTCAGCCTCAGGTCACAGTCAGAGATCGTTTCGGAAACGCAGTAGCGCAAGACATCATACCCAACAGGTCAAGTCCAACTCCTCCTTGCTCCCCCTTCCTCTTTGTACTTTCTCTCCCTTTGACCACCACTCTCTCGTCCGTCCTTGTCAATTTTGTTTTCTCCCCTCCCCTTTCCCTCCCCCTCCCCCTTCCCCCTTCCTCAACTCATCGCAGGACCGTCACAGCAACGCTCATCTCTAAGACCAGCATTCCCTCCTCTGGCACTCGCTGCGGCTTCTCCTTCACCTCCCTCGACGGCTCCTCCTCCATCCCCGTCAACGAGCAGGGCATCGGCGTCTTCACGGACCTGGCGATCAGGACGGCAGGAGCTGGGTTCAAGCTGGATTTTGCCTTCACGTCCTCCAAGGGTCTCATCCTTGTGAGTTCTTCGGACTTCAACGTGGTTCCAGGGCAGACAGTCTCCCTCTGCTCTCTTGCCTCCCCCTCCGGCTGCTCCTCCAGAGCTGCCTGCTCCTTCTTCTCTCGTATCGCCTGCGTCGACCAGTACGGCAACGTCAACCAGCAGTGCCAGTCGGGGGTGGGTAAGACCGCGCTTATCGCCCCACCACAGGACAGGATTGACTACCAGTACCTCGACTGCGGGGCAGGAATATGCGTCAAGCTCGTTGCTCCCTCCTCCACCTCTCTCTCCCTCGCTCGCACGTGGACGAACTTCGTCGATTGCTCGCAGCGTCGGTGTGAAGAAGAGCCAGTAGCGGGAGTAGCTACTTTCACTCAGTTGTACTTCAAAGTGCCTTCGGCGCAGTACAAACTTCGCTTTTACATGTACCGAGTGAACGAGTTTCTTCAGAAGGTATGATAATTATGATGATCATAATCATGATCATGATGATAGTGGTGGTGGTGGTGGTGGTGATGGTGATGATGATGATGATGATGATTTTTCATGGAAACGATAGAGATGATGATGATGATGATGATAAAGATGCGAATGATGTGGAAGATGCAAAGGATTGGTCGTCTTTGTGGAGGAAGGAAAGGAGAAGTACCATGGATGATGACGAAGAAGTTTTCTGAGGGTTCTTGTGAATGAATTGTTCATGCGATCAACGAGCAGAATAGATTTCTTGTTTGTTCAAAAAGCTTGACAGTTGTTGTTCCTGCGTCCAGGTGTCAACTTGGAGTGTTTTGACGGAACCCTTCACTATCCTTCCTCTTCCTCCTCGGCTCACCTCAGCGTTCTTCTCGGCCTCTTTCAGCCAGCTTGTTATCTACTTTGACAAGCCAACCAAGTAATCTTCAACTTTCGCTCTCCTCAATTCTCCTCCCTCCCTCTTTCTTTCACCTCATCCCGATCACATCTTTTTCTCATCATTGCCTCCCGTCTTCTTTCACTCTGCCTTTGTTGTTCTTCACTCACCTTCTACTTCAGCATGAACAACTCCCCCGGCACAGCTCTCGCCCTTCCCTGCACGAACCTACTGGACCCGAAAGTTATCAGCCAGCTGGGCTCGAACCCGAGCTGCACCTGGTTGGACCCATACAGCATACAGGTGACGATGGGGCTGGGGGCGACGATCAGCATGGAGACGCAGATCTTGCTGGGGACCAGCTCGAACGTTACCTTCTCTTTCTCCTACAACGGCTCCCTCCTCACATCTCTGCCAGCCACGACCTCCAAGACCTTCATCATCGACGGCAGCTCTCTTCCCACCATCTTCCCAGCTTCTCCTCCATCTCTTCCTTCCCCCACCCCCATCGTCGTCAGCCCTCAGCTGCTGGGTGCTTGTGACCCGGTGCGCATGGACGCGAGTTTGAGCTATGGAAGGGCCAGCAGGAGCTTCACGCAGTTGGACTGGGCGCTGGACTTCAGCTCCTCGCTGCTCCAGGACGGCATTCTGACAGCTGGGAACGTGCCCTCATTCAGCAAACGGTCTATTCACTTCTCCTCCCTCCTTCCCGGCGACCGCAGCACCGTCACGGTCTCGCTGCAGCCCAACATTCCCCTCCTACCCGGCACCAACATCACCATCCACGGCCTCCCCGGATATTCGTCGCAGCCTCAAGCGTGCGGAACGCTGAGCGGAGCTGTAGAAGGTAGCGCGTGCACGTTGGGGCTGGACGCGAGTTTGACCTGCCACAACACGAGCATCACAGGGAAGGACGCAGACCTGTTCGCCGGCGGAGGAGGAAACTTGTCGTTTGCAGAATGGGTGGACGAGGGGCTGAGACGCGGGAACCTGGTGATGAAGATGGGAGAAGGAAAGTTCATGTCAGAAGAGACGATCTCTGTGTTTTCCTTCGAGCTCGTCCTCCCGACTCTTGACGTCTCTTCCTGGATCACCGACGGCCAGCTTGTCTCATCAACGTCTCCCTACCCTCTTGCCATCTCCACAGACTCGCAGATTGGACGGATCGCCATGCAAAGCGCCTCTTCCGACATCATCCCAGCTACTTTCCTGCTCGACCGGCGGCCACCCGACCTGGTACGAGGAAGCATCGCTCAGTCTTCCTCCGCCAACTCTGCTCTTAACTTCATCACCTTCTCCTTCTCGCTCTCGCTCTCCCTCGGCCCTGGGAGTCTCGTCAAGCTGAGCGGGCTGCTGGGCTCGCGCACCAAGAGCGGGAGAGTCTGCCCGGTGACTGAGACCGCGTCTTCCCAGCTCACCTGCGAGCTTTGTGCTGAACAGCTAGAGCTGGGAAAGGCAACTTTCGATCAAGCTAAGGGCGAGCTCACATTCCAAGTGGGAGGAGACAAAAAGTTGGAGGCCGGCGCCTCTTACGCCCTCCAGTTTCCCCTGCTCAACCCCAGCAGCAGGCAGACAGCGAACTCTACAGTCCTCGTACAGTTTGTGGCAGGTGGGGTGACCGGCTCAAAATTCATCGTGGCTGGAAAGGTGCTGGAGGGAGGAGAGGCACCATCCTTCCTCTTCCTCTTCGCCTCACAGTCAAACAACTTCCTCCATCTCCACAACCTGCTGGAGATCAGCTTCGCTCTCAACGTTCCCCTCCTCGACGGCACCGTCCTCCTCCTGGACCTCTTGGACTCTCGCGTGATGCTCAACGTGTCTGAGATGCAGCAGATGGCAGGCAACAGCAGCAGTTGCGTCCTCCTCAACTCCACAACTGGCTCCGTCCTCGAGTTTCTTGTAGCTGAGAACTGCACGATCGTAGCTGGGCAGCGGCTAGAGGTCAAACTTCTCGTGAAGAATGACGTTGCAACGATGCCTTCAGCGTCGCTGTCAATGTCTGCGAGCTCTGGAGTCTGTCGCTCCTGCTCGCTCTCCTGCGACTGCAACTCCATCCAGCCCTTCGACTTCAAGACACAGGTGACGCCGCTGGTAGGAGCTGTGATGAGGGATGTACGGGAGATCGTGTTCAACATGGCCAAGGTGGTAGAGAACAACACGCTGATGCTGCAGGAGAACTTTCTCACTGTCAACTTCAGCGTCAACGCACAGATATCAGCCGGTTCAAACATCACCATCATTGGTATCGCGGGTGCATCCACCGATCTTATGTCCCCAACTTGTGAGAGCGGGACTGAGGAGTCATGTTGGGTAGACGTTACAGTCTTTGACGAGTTTGACCGTCCCAACGTCCTTGTCAGCGGCTTCTCAGCCCGTTTCCACCCTCTTGATGGCAACTTGACGCTCTCGCTCAACCGGACCCTTCCAACTGATCAGACCATCACCATCAGATTTGCCGTCGTCAACGGTCGTGTCAATCAAAATGCTCAACTTGTCGTCTTGGGCGAGCTGGTCGTTGACATCTGCCAGGGAAAGCTCAGCTGCAGTGAGACGATTGACATGATCAGCACCGTCGAAGTTTCTCGCGAAGTTGACGGGCAGGTCTTGCGGATGCAGGGAGCAGCTCAGATCTCCTCCTTCTCCCTCCACCAGTCCTCCTTCGCCTTCAGCGCTCCCAACATCATCACTGTCACGCTCTCCACCAACTTCGCGCTCGTGGGGGGTCAAACGGTCCTGACAGTCTCCGGGTTCGGGCAGATGACGTCACCGTCCTCGGCCCCATGCGAGATCGTCAACGATACCAAGAAGCTGACGGAGCAGACTGGGAAGATCCTAGTAGCCAACGAGCTTCCAAGCCCCTCCATATTCTTCTCCTCGTCTTCCTCCTCCGAGTGCAAGTGGGAGCAGTCCCAGCTGACTCTCAACTTCACCGTCCCCGAGGACTTCCTTGCAGGTTGGAATCTTGTCTTCCATTTCCTCCTCTTCAACTCTGGGACCTCTCGCAGCCCGTCCACCCCCCAGCTCTCGCTGACCAGCGGCGACATCACCATCTCCTCGTTCGCCGCCGCCTCTCAATTTCTCGGAGGGTACGACAACCCCAAGTTCCTCAACGCGTCGGTGGATGCACTCGAGCTCATCTACGGCGGATTTTCTCTGCTCTCCATCTCCTTCGACACCAACATCCTCCTTCTCTCCGACCCAACCCCGGCTCGCGTCACCATTGCTGGTCTTGCGGGCTTCTCCTCCTCCTCCTCCTCCCTCGCTCTCTCCGGCTCAAGCCCTTTCTTGTCATCTTACACGGGCGCGGCGGAGTGGGACGAGCAGCAGAAGGAGGTAGTGCTCAAGGGAGGGACGGTGGGGACGAGCGTCTCTTTCCAGCTGTACCTGCGGCTGCAGAGCTACCAGGTAGCGGGAGCGAACGCGTGGGACAGCATCAGCATCGTTGCCTCGTGCAACTACGCGACTCTCCCCTCCTTTCCCGTCAAGTTCGTGCGACCCAAGACCTTTGTAGCTCAGGCCCAGCTGGTGAGGGCAGCGGTGGCGGAGGCGAATCAGATTCAAGGGCTGACCAACAGGATCACGTTGCGACTGACTTCTAACGTCGCTGTCTATCCTCTCTCTCAGATTGTAGTCTCTGGTCTCCTTGGCTCCTCCTCCCCCTCTAACCAGCAGCTCCCGCTGTACGGGGAGGATGCAAAGGTGTTCGGAAACGCAGGGAGCTGGGAACAAGGAGGAGGAACGTTGACCTTGACTGTATCTGCGGGGGTGACGGTTGAAAGCAACTTTGAGCTTGTCGTCTCCTTCGATCTTGTCAATTCCATGCAGCCCAGCGCTGGCTCTGCTCCTACCGCTCAGCTTCTCCTCCGCTCCCCTCCTGAATCCCTCGACACTCAGGTAATCTCAACAACTTCCGTCCTGTGTGAGGGGCCGAAGATCTTGACCGCGTCAATCTCGGCGACGTTTGCGAGGAAGGAGGTAGCGGAGAGCAACGCAGTCAACAACGCCTTCAACACCATCACAGTCACCATGATGCTCAACAGACCGGCTGCGACCAACTCGATCTTTCAGTTCGACGGCCTAGCGAGTCAAACGGCGTCAGGGAACCTTGTGCTGACAGGCAAGAGCGGGGGACTGTTCGGAGGGACAGGAGTGTGGAGCAGGGAGGGGTCGTCGATGAACGTGACCCTCACGTCTGACATCTCTGAATTCCTTCTCATCGTGTTCTCCTTCTCCATGAAGAACGTCGACTGCCTGTCAAACTGCACCAGCCGTTCGATCTTCCTGTCGCTGATAGTGGACGGAATGAGAATCATCGACAGAAGCGAGGTCGTTGGCAAGGTAAGTGTCAGCAAGCTGACTAGTCTCGCGTTCATGACTGTCTCTGTAGGTGTTGGGGGCAGGCAGGAAGCTTTCATGGAGAAACAAGCTGATATCTCAGACCTCGTCGGTCGCCAACAACTACAACAAGTTATCTTTCACTCTCTCTCCTTCGGCTCCCATCTTCGGCGGGTCCTCCATCACCATCACTGGGCTGCAATCTGTTCAAGTTCGCCCCTGCAGCCTCTGCTCTCTGACCGACCAGGAGCTCATCGCTGGCCTCGGCTGCTCCCCAGCTTGCAAAAATTGCAGCCTGACGGACAAGAAGCGCTGCCTGCCGATCTTCTTGGAGGACGGCATTACACCCAACGTCAAGTTCGTCGACGCTCTTGCCACCTGGTCCCCCGACTTCTCGAGCGTCTCCTTCACGCTCGCGGCGGGGAGCTCCATGACGGAGTTTGACGATACGACCCTCTACGTCGTCGTCAAGAACTCTGCGACAAAGCAGACGCGCGCCGAGTGCTCGTCGATGACATGGCGAGAGGATGCGAGGACGGGCCGGTGTTTGACCGCTCTGACTGGGCATGCGACACTATGCGATAACGGCAACACCCTGACCGCCTGCTCCTCTCCCGCTCCCATCGCCACCATCCTTGCGGACGAGGCCCTCAACCGAACCCTCCTGCCCGGGTCCATCGACCCCTGCGAGATCTGCATCCGCCCTCTTCTTCTTGCAGGTGTGTAACAAGGGGAGAAGAAGTCAATGATGGAGATGATGGTGATGGTGATGATGATGATGATGGAGATGATGATGATGATGATGATGATGATGATAATTATGATGATGATGATAGAAGGTGATGATGACAGGAGAATCAACAATGTTGTGAGGGTGAGGATGAGAATGAGGGCTGGGAAATGAATTGAGTGAGATGTACTCCACGATTGTCTTGTCATGATGCTGCTGATCATGAGAATAACATGAAGCCTTCATATCATATCCTTCATATCATATTATCCTCGTGATCAGCAGTATCAATATGCTCGTGATCAGCAACATCTAGCAAAAGAAGGAGAAGAGGGATTGAATGAGGAGGAGAATAACGACTGAAATATCAGACATCGTTTTACTTGAAATATTTGTTGTCTGACAAACACCTGACAGCGGTCAATAACGCCTTGTCATTGAAGAAGACATTGAAAATCGACGGTCTTGTCTTGACGGTGTCAAACTCATCACAGACAGAGACTCTACCAGCTGTAATTTCATGTGCCTGCTGACAACCAGACGGCTGACAGTGTGTCCAGGGCAACTATACCTTCTCACTGACCCTCGTCAACTGGCTAAGGTTGCAGACGGTGGGATCAGTAGCGATACAGAAGATTGACGATTTCATTCCTCTCCTCTACGTCGTCAACATGCCAAGCATCGTTACCACCAGAGACAAGTCTCTTGAGCTTGAAGCCAACGCCTCTGCCTCCTCCTGTTTGACTGCCTCCTCCTCCTCTTCCTCCTCCCTTGCTTCCTCCATGCAGTACATGTGGCGGGTGATGTGCCTTCGAGGAAGCTGCATGCAGGTAGCTCCTTCAGTTCTGCTGGATGATATAGAGAACGCTTTCTGAGCGTCTCTGTCGAGCTGAGCTTGAGCTGGACGTGCCTGACTAGCCTTGCAGGACATGATTTTGACTCAGAGTATCTTTCAGCCGATGACGTCAGCGACGAGATTCCTGCGCGTCAAGGCCAACAGTCTGAGCGTCGGCGGGACGTACCGGTTCACGTCAACAGCCACATTCAACGGAAAGTCATCGAACGCGTCAGTTGATGTTTTCGTCACTCCTCGCAATTTGGTTCCCTTCATCTCTGGCATCAGGTAAGCGGCACAAGCTTCAATCCTCCTCCTCCTCACTCTCTCGCAGTTCGGATGGTGTCGTCGGCAACGCGAGTGCGATCGCCATCAGCGGCATCAACACTTGGGACCCTGACGAGGCGACGACGAAGTTGACAGCAGGAGGAGGAGGCTTCGTTTTCTCGTGGAGCCTCTTTCAAGTTGACATCTCTCCTGAGTTTGTCAACGGCGACTGGAAGCAGCCGGTGGAAATCTTGACCGACAGGTCTCTTGCTGCTGCTGCTCCCTCCTGCTTCCCTTCCCTTCAACTTCTTCATCCCCCTCCTTCATCTCCTCCTGCTTCTGCTTCTGCTCTTGCTCACCTCGTTGCAGATCTTCTGCCTTATCGGTCAGTTCCGACAAAGTCTCGGCAAGCATAGCAGGATCAGCTTTGCAGGCAGGCAGGCGCTACAGAGTCGCCATGACTGTCACGCGCGACAGCTCGCGATTGACGTCAAACTTGCCATCGCTTCTCAGCTCTGACATTCTCCACCTCTTTACCACCAAGGCAAACACGACAAAGGACTTCACGTATCAGATTGGAAGCTACGTCAACGTTGACATTTTCCCGTGCGAGACTGACAAGCCTTTCTCAACGCAACTCTGCTCGGCGAGAACCCAGAAGTTTTTGCTGGCCTCGAGCAAGACCGTTCTCTTTGCCTCCAACAACGCGGCCGACGCATCCAAGCTGAACTTCGAGTGGAGCATCGAGAGTTCAGCCGACAGCCAGCTGGTCAGTCAGCCACACGTGTCTCGAACTTTCTCTGAGCGTTGGGTGCAGGCAAACTTGTCACAGGTGTCGCTTAAAGTCTTGTCGGGTCAAATTCTCTCAATCCAGCCCGGCGTCTTTGTCCCCGGCAGGACCGTCAAGTTCAGAGTCTCTATCTTTGACTCGTCCTCCTCCTCCCTACGCGGCGCTGCCGTCCTGTCGCTCTTCGTCCGCAGCCCTCCCAGGGGGGGGAACTTCAGCATCGAGCCCAGCAACGGCGAGGCTCTGACTACTACTTTCTCCTTCCTCGCTGACGGCTGGACGACCGAAGTCGATAGCCTGCCTCTCACCTACTCGTTCTACTTTCTCTCGCAGGTGGAGGGGGCGAGCATGGAGGTCGAGGTGGGAAAAGGAGAGCAGTACGTGCAGACTTCAATCCTCCCTAGCGGAAGCGCGGCCAGCAACTGGCAGGTCACGGTCGGGGTGTACATCTATGATGTCTACCTGGCGTTCAGCTCGGCAAAGACAACCGTAAAAGTGACAGAAGCGATCGCTGTCAAGTCCGTGCTCGACCTGACTGCCCTCATCTCCTCGGTCGACAGCCTCCTCGAGTCTGAGGTATCCAGCAAGATAGCAGACAAGGACATCGCAGGAGCCCAGTGAGTTCCCAGCTGCTGCTGTGTCCCGCTCAGTTGACGCCGGTGGTTCAGGTCGATGCTTGCAGTCGCTGCCAACGTCATTTCATCGCAGACATTCTGTAAGGGCGTCCAGGCGGCTGCTGCTGAATGCGCCGGCGCCATCGCGTCAAAGTCATCTCTGCGCTTTCGAATCCTCCTGAAACTGTCGGAAGCGAACTTGACGCAGCCCCCGACCCTCGCGACTCTCGCAAGTCAGTCAGTCGCTTTCTCGCTGATCTGCAGCGACCCGGTCGAGATCGACACGAACCTGCAGCGGTACAGCATCTCCTTTCTCAACCTCGCCATCGGATGCTACCAGACTTACCCCCAGGTGACTTGGCTCCTCCTCTCGCTCCCTCTTACTGCCCTCAGATGATCCTTGGACCGGTCTCTGACCGACTGGTGGGCACCATAAACGTGGTCCTGCGCACGTACTCCTCCAGCGGTTTGACATCGCGAGGGACCTGGAAGAGCAACACGATGGCAGCGAGAGGTCAGCTGAGAGCACTCACGAGCGATCAGAACTATCAGAAGATGGCGCTGAACATCCTCTCGTCCATCTCGTCGCTGGCAGCGAGAGGTCTTCTGGTTGGCGAGGTGAAAAACTTTCAACGGCTTGTCAATTGTCTCCTTGTTGCGTCCGTGACTTGCGTTCAAAACTACTTGTCCTTTTCTTCTATTTTCACTTTCTTGTCTCTATTCCCCTGCCTCCATCCCCCCCGTGCATTCTTGTTTGTTTGTTGTCTCCTGCGCCTGTACTATTTGACAACTTTCTGCAGCCTCCTCTCCAGATGAACATGTCGGAGTTCACCTTGTCAACTTGGGCTGTCAACAAAAACTCACTCAACGACTTCGAAGTCTCCAACGGCCTCACGTCAGCTGCTGTTTACGCCAGTCAGATCCGAAGCTTGGTGCCAGACGTCGTAGAGGTTATGGTCGTCTTCTGGAACCAGACGGCGAAGCTCCTGCAGGTGGGTCTTGACGGCTCTTCATCAGTCGAGCCTATCTTGGGGGGGATGTTCACCCTCGAGCTGCGAGCATCAGGAGCGATCGATCCTCTCCCGATCTCCGACGCAACGCACGAGCTGCTTCGACTCTCGCAGGACCTCAAGCAAGTCTACCAAGCCAACCCTGCCATGACAGTCGTCGGCGCATCATTTGACTTTGACAAGTGGAAGTGGAGCATGTCAGGCATCGTCGAGCGAAGTTTCCAGAGCTCGACGTTTGTGTTTGCCAGCAGCCATCTCTCCTACTTCGCTGCACTTCATGTCAAAGTTGGTTGCGACGGCGTTCCTCTCAGCCCGTTGGCGTTGGACGCCTGCGGAGTTTGCAACGGAGGAAACCAGTCTTGCTCGGGTTGCGATGGGATCCCGAACACAGGCCGAGACAAGACCTGCAGTGGACACGGGCAGTGCGGCGAGCTGGTGAGGGGGAAGAGAGGTGAGGTTGTGAGGTGAGGTTTGTGCGACAGGAATGTTCTTGTCAGACAAGATGGTTTGGAGTTCTATGCCAGAACTACTGCACTGAAGGCCTCACCTGGTACATTCGCTTCTCTCTTCTCACCTCTGTCTGAACTGTCTCAGCTCTGGCCATGGCATCTGTGACTCGCTCCTCGGCAATCCCTGCGTGTGCGACAAGGGATGGCAGAGCGACGCGACGAGCGCGACCTCGTTGCGCTACTGCAGCATCCCGGTGACCCAATCGCGGCCGGGCAGCTCGAGCAGTCTGCCGATGAAGCTGTGGGAGATGGTAGTCATCATCGTGTGCTGTGCCTTTGTTGTGTTCGTGACCTGCCTGGTTGTCATCGTCCGCTTGTGCAAGTCAAGCATGAGCATGGAGAAAATGCGCGACTCCCTCGTCGTTGTCAACGATCCCTTTGACCTCCCTGTCGATCAGCCCCAGCTCTCGCCAAGCGGTAGCCTTCACTCCTCCTCCTCCTGCTTCTTGACGTTTCCGTTGCAGAGGTCAAAGACTCGCTCGTCGACATGCGGAACATGTTTGCCGAGGAGCCGCCGGCCTATCACGCTGATCTTGTCTATGGCACGCTGGTTCCCGCCAAACCGGAGCCTGTGGTGGTGTACGAAGAGGAGGAGGAGGAGGAGGACATGAACGGGGGGGGCGAGTACAACGAAGCGAGTCAGCTGGTCATGTGGTAAGCAAGCTGATGCCTCTGCGGCTCTCCATGACATTCGCGCAGGCACCAGGACGACAGTCAAAGTTCCTCAGTCAACTCAACCGACGATGCCTTTGATAAGGTCCCTCCTGCTGCGGTTCTGCTGGGGGTATCATTGACTATGCTTGCAGGACTTCTTCAACGTTGGCACGTTCTTCTCCAAGATTTACTCCACAAACGGCACTTGAACATCAGCGATTCTGAAGGATCTTGCAGTTTTGTTGTACATTTCATTCCCTTGTAAATGAGTTCTACCAAGCCTGTCGTCCAACAGAGCATTGGCAACGTCCCCCACCAAACCTTCAGCTGACTCCAAGCCTCAATCTGCTTGCTTGCAGTGATAGCACGACATCTCGATCAGAAACGGGGTTTTCGATTCGGGAATTGTGTTACATCAAGATATATTCACAAAGACAAAATAACAACATCTCTATTCTTCACCTGACAGGCAACAATTATCTCCTTTCAACTTTCTTGCTATCATGAGCTGTGATCAGACAAGACAAGCTTCATGAGCTACGATCTGACAACCTTCAAGATCATTTGTTGATCTTCGACTTTTTCCTCGATCGATCTTTCTTTCGGTCTCCCGACTGCAGTCCTCGTCATGGCACGAAGCCCTCCTCCCTCCTCCTACCTTGTGCTTCTTCTTCCCTCGCAGCTTCCGACGAGCTTGTCGCTTCCTCTCGCGGTTCGAGAATTTCTTCTGGCGCCGTCGAATGCAGATGCCGACACAGATGCTGAGCCAGCGGTCAATGCAGGGAAGGAGGAGGGCGGAGGAGGAGAAAGGGAGGAGAGGGGAGGAGGCAAGGAAACAAGGGGAGGACAACGAGAGCACAGCACGTGAAGTACCAGCAGCAGCACACGAGGAACGAAGAGCTTGAGATGAGAATGACAGGCAGCCAGTCATACGGTCCATTGTCACAGATCTTGCCGCTCCATCCGCCGTAGCACAGACATGCTCCTTGCTCGTCGCACTCGCCATGGCCGCTGCAGACTTTGACAGTCACCAGCTCTCCCTCCAGATACGCCAGCAGCCCTCCAGCACACTGCAATGAGCAGTTCGCTCCTCGGTAGCCCACGCGACATGAGCAGACGCAGTCCTGCGTGCACGTCCCATGGCCATAGCAAATGTTGTCGTGACCTCCCGGGCACTCGCAAGAGCTGGGCAGTGGGTCATGAGGGGGAACAAGGTCAGGCACACGGCACCAGTCAGGACGACGGAAGCCAGTGTAGCAACGGCAGCTGCCGTCCAGGAGACATTCCCCGTTGTAGGAGCAGGGGTTCGACGCCCCTCCCTCGCACTCGGTCGAGCAGTTGAGACCCGTGAACCCGGTGTAGCAGGAGCAGGCCCCGTTGACGCACAGCCCGAGGTCCGAGCAAGGGCTTGACATCGCTCCCGGGCATCTGCAAGGGTGGTGAGCTGTATGAGGGTCGAGTTCATAGTGTGACCTCAGGGAGCAGTTCCCTCCTGAGTAACCTGAGTTGCACTCACAAACTCCTGTCGGCAGACACTCGCCTGTTACTGCCGTTACGCCCTCACATCCTCCAGCTCTCCCCCGCCTGTACCATTCCCAGAGCACGGGTTCAGAGCTCCTCCCGGGCACTCGATCTCACACGCGCTTCCAGTGTAACCCGAGAAACACAGGCAGTATGAGGAGCTACAGGAGGCGTCAGAGAACCTGCAAGAGGATGCAGCCCAAGCAAGTCACCCTGTTCCCGGGATAATGCAGTCTCCGTGTAGAGAGCAGGCGTTTCCTACTCCTCCAGGGCACTGGTCCGAGCATACAGAACCCCTGTATCCTGTATCGCAAATGCAAACTCCATTGCTGTTGCAGGTCCCGTGCCCTGAGCATGGGTTGCCTTGCTCCCAGCAGCCTGCGGAAACTCAGCACTCTCTTCTTGTGCCCACGTCATCACCTGTCGCTGCAATAGTATGATACGCTCCAGATGCAATCACGTACACGTTGGCACCGACAAAGCTGCTTATCTTCGTGGGAAACCTGCGGATAATATCACTTCAAACGCATCGGAGAAAAAGCTTCTCACTTTCTAGTAGTTTTGTCACCTAGCCCAAGCATGCCGTAATCGTTGTTGCCGAAAGCGTAAACAATCTGTTGGTCAAAGTCAAGAGAGGACGGGTCAAACTTCACCGACTCACCCCTGACTCGTCAATGGCGAAGATCGTTCGCTGTCCTCCGAAAACCTTGTACACGTTGGCACCTTAGCAAACTTGGTCAAGGTGGCTGTCGAGACCTTGGATCTCACTTACCGTCGTTCTTCAAGCTTGGAATCAATGAGGGCTCATTGTATGTCACGGCCGCACTTTGACCCAATTGACCGAAGCTGTTGTCACCCCAAGCAAACACTTCTCCAGCATCAGAAATCTTGACAATGAGTCAGATCAAAGGTCAAGACAGCCCTATGAGAGCGGCCTCACAGCATATGACGCATAATCGCCACAAGCAATAGACGAAATGTTCTTTGTCGCAAGGTACTTGATCAACGTCGGAGCCTTGCGCGAGGAATAATCGCCAAGTCCAAGCTTGTGTGCGAATAAGAACAAGGCACTGACCTCCGCCCTCCCTTTCTCACCTGCCCGTTGGCGTTCAACCCCATGCTGTAAACTTGCCCGAAGTCTGTCAGAACCAAGGAGTGGTACGACCCTGCGGCGACTTTGACAGTATTCAAACCATCCATGTACACAACTTTGGCTGGCTGAGAGCCTAACGACAAGCATGTCAGCTTATCGACGAGAATCGCAGCGAATACGTTGAGATAGATCTCCCACTCCGAGCTGTCCTTCGACATTGTTGCCCCACGACCAAACCTTATCACAATCGCTGAGTCTCAGCCGAAGAAGACATAACAAACCTCTCCAAGATCATTCAGAGCAATCACGTGGAAATCTCCTGCAGGAACAACTAGTGCTCAACCAACCAATTGCAACATCCAAATGCAAGACGTGATCACCAGCCGCAAGCTCAAGAAAATGAAGGTCTTGAATAGAATTAATCTACTCTATCCATCAGGTACACGTGGTATCAAATGAACATGAACCAGCATCGGGACACTGCGAAAGTACTTCCCATCAGGCCTTGCCAACATCTCTTGCTATGATACACGTGTAAGTTTCCATTTCACGATGCACATGGAGATTTAGATGCCTGAAAGTCCGTAATCCCAAGTTGACCCCAGTCATTTGCACCCCATGAAAAAATCTTCCCGTCCTGCTCCACGAATCAGGTGAAGAGGCATCATCCTCGAGGGTAACGCACCTTGGTCAACACGAACGTGGAGTCCACAGAGGCGACGGTCTTTTGGAGGGATAGAGGATAAGATCAGAGCCGAGCTGAGGTCTAACCATCATTTCTCACCTGCACGATTTGTGGCTGAGACGCACTTCCCCATACGACATCCTGCGGCTTCATGCATTGCATGTCCGAGGCCTGGTTCTATACTTGAGTAACTCTAAACACCTTGTCGACTCCCAACACCTTCCAGTAGGAGTTTGCAGACCCATAGCTCGTGCACTTGCTGGCATCGCAAACAGGTTTGCACAGGCTTGGATTACAAACCCTACAAGTACATGAGACGAACTTCCGGTCATAGCAAGAGCTTCAACCAGCTGTTGGGCTCTGGACAAGCTTTCCATTGGACCGCTTGCGGGGAGAGAGAGGTCTGCCATACAGCTCTCACACAGCTCACAAAGGCTGACTAAATTACCCAGATTGGTCCTAGGCCAAGCTGTCCTTTGCTGTTCCTGCCCCAGGTGTACACCAGCCCTGAGACACGAGGTATCAGCATGGCAATAGAATTGCAGACATGCGAGGTATCCGCGTTGAAGACATGTGTGGTATCAGCATTGCAGATATGCCAGGTGTCAGCATTGTAGTCAGATCCACTAACCTTGTGTTGAGCTTGTGTCTCCGAGAGCAACCGAGTGATACAACCCAGCAGCTAGACCATACGTACGGTCTAAAGGGAGCTTACTATCTATAAGAGTCTCTGTTGTTCTTTCAAGATAGTCGCCGAGACCAAGCTGACCCCAGTCATTGTAGCCAACCACATAGACGTCGTTGGCTGCAACGACATCAAAGAAGCATGCTAGGCTCAAACATGCGATGCTGGCCCTCTTTGCCCAAGGTTTCCACTTCATGTTGACTTGCTTGGAGGGAAGGAACTTGTTAGGAGGAGACTGTGACGCTGAGAGGACATGGGCACGGTCGTGTACTTGCTCACATGGGCTCTTGTCTCCTCCTCTCCCCCCCCTGCATGTCCTTCCGCCCGCCCAGCTCCTCCCCCTTGTCCCCGATCGCGATCAGAACCATCGATCTCGATCTCATCCGTATCAACGAAATGCAACCGCCAGGTAACGAAGCAACAGAATTGCGGACGGATCGTAACTGCCGCAGTAAAACCGTTAAAGATCGTAAGAACAGGGTGAAGGAGGTTTATTGATGGCGAAGGAACGAAAGGGAAGAGGGGGAGGGGAGGAGGGAGGGAGAGAAGATGGGTATGCATGCGTAGAAGTATCAGAGCAAGATGCTGATGCATGAAGAAGAAGGATACAGCAGAGCATCTGCGGTGTTCATGTACAAATCACTCAGCTTAGATTCATGTCATGCGAGATACAAGTTGATTTTTCGTACCTTTGACATATGAACACTTTGTTTGCTGTTTCGACCATGATTCTTGTGCAACAGCTAAACGAGGGAGTATGGAGACATCTGCAATGGATGCTGCAAAAGGTGACGTGACTTCAAGTGATTTGGTGAGACCCTGCAAGTGTTCTCATGCGTTTGAGCAGAATGGTTGGAGATCGACTTCCATGTGCCGACTCGAACAGTCGTGCAGTCGCTCGTTGAGAAAGCAGACACCGCAAGCATCAGCAAGATGTTTGTGCCCAGAATCGCCTTCGGCACTGCCGGTCTCCGAGGGCCGATGGGGGCCGGGTACGGGAACATGAATCACATCACGGTGATGCAGTGCACGCAAGGGATACTCGCATACCTCGAGAAGACTCTCGGAAGCGACGAGGTCAAGGCAAGAGGTGTTGTTATCGGCTACGATCATCGATGGAGTGCGACTGGCGTCGACTCTGAAATGATGGCGAGGACAGCAGCTGCTGTCTGTGTTCAGAGAGGCATCAAGGTGTACCTCTTCAGCAGCATGGTCGCGACGCCCTTGGTTCCCTTCTGTGTGAAGCACAAGAGATGTGCGGCAGGGATGATGGTGACAGCCTCTCACAACCCCAAGGATGACAATGGCTACAAGATGTATGGAGCCAACGGAGCTCAGCTGTGCGAGCCACATGACAAGTCGATTGCCGGACTCATTCTGGAGCACCTCAAGCCATGGGCTGACTACGGCACTGCCATCGAGTCTGTCCGTGACTCTCCACTTTGTGTTGACATCCTGGAGGAGGCCAAGGACGCCTACTTCAAGGAGATGGCTGCGAGCTTGTGCCATCACGCTCAAGACAACGCTGTCTCATCGTTACCCATCGTGTACACAGCCATGCACGGAGTAGGGGCTCCTTTCACGGCCCGATCCTTTGAGGCGTTCAAGCTCAAGCCATTCTTTACCGTCTCTGAGCAGAACGATCCCGACCCTTCGTTTCCTACCGTTGCTTACCCGAATCCAGAGGAGGGCAAGGTCTACCCTCAACTGCTGAGGCTGAACAAACTGAAGTGAGCAACAGGGAGCGCTGGAGCTATCTTTCAGCAAAGCCTTGTCCGTCAACTCCCCTCTCGTCCTTGCTAACGATCCCGACGCTGATCGCCTGGCAGTGGCTGAGCTCCAGGTCGACTTGGCGTGCGAGGAGAAGACATGACGGGTGACTTGTGCAAACAGGATGGTGGAAAGTGGAAGATCTTCAGTGGAAACGAAATCGGCATGCTCCTTGCTCACTGGCTTTTCCGAAAGGCTGTTGAGAAAGGAAAGTCGCCAAACAAGCTTGCTGTAGTTGCCTCTACAGTCTCATCCAAGATGACTCGCGCGCTGGCTGAGAAGGAAGGCATGCGATTCGAAGAGACTCTGACAGGGTTCAAATGGATCTGCAACAAGAAATTTGATCTTCAACAGGAGGGATATGAGGTTTGACTGATGTAATCTTTTGTGATCGCCTGTCATGTGCTTGTCTAGGTCATCTTGGCCTTTGAAGAATCAATCGGCTTCTGCTGCGGAGACTTGGTGAACGATAAGGACGGAGTCTGTGCTGCTGCAGTCTTCGCGGAGATGTCTGTGCAACTGTACAAAGCAGGCAAGACGGTGTCAAAGCACCTCAACGACCTTTACGAGTCATACGGTCACTTCATCTCGCGGCAAGGATACGTCTTGGTTCCCAACCCCAGGTGACAATTGCGTCAAGTTGCCACAAGTTCTCAGGCTATCTGCAGGTTAACTGTTGAGATCTTCGATAAGATTCGGAACAAGAGCAACTATCCTACTTCAGTGGGCCCATATAAGATAGCACAGGTGAAAGCAACCTCAGAGTTTCAGCCATGAAATGGCAACAGGTTAGAGACCTGACAACCGGGTACGACTCGTCGACTGCAGATAACAAAACTACTTTGCCAGCTTCTACTTCAAGCCAGGTGCCTCCTCCAGTGCCGACCGTACAACTAACTCGAGTGCAGCACCTGACCTTCACGTTTGAGAACGGTTGTATAGCAAACCTGCGAGGCAGTGGCACGGAGCCGAAGCTCAAGTACTACGTCGAGCTGCACGGCAACGACCCTGCCAAGGTGAGAACCGCTTGTGCTCTCGTGCGTGTAACGCTGCTGCTCCAGGTCACAGAAACCCTGCTGGACATGGTGAAGCTCATTGTTATCACGCTGCTGGAACCAGAGCTCAACGGCCTCAAGTGGGCTGGTGTTGAGTGAAACTTGCGGGATAACGTATGAAGACTGAGATGAGAGGTACAAGGAGAAATGAAGAACAAGTGAACTCGAAGTTCTCCCGATAGAAAACACGTCCTGTAGAGCTCCTCCTTCTATTTCCTCCTGGTGTTCCATGTTGTTATTCCTGCAGCAGTGTGCCCCAGGATGTCACTTTTCATCTTGTAGCTTCGATCAATCTTGTTGTTATTCCTGCAGCAGTGTGCCCCAGGATGTCACTTTTCATCTTGTAGCTTCGATCAATCTTGTTGTTCATTCTGCAACAGTTGCTTAAGGAGGTAACTTTCCATCTTGTAACTTGGATTCTTCTGGACTGTGGAGGTAAAAGAACTCTCAAGAACCGACCCTAAGATATCGAATGACCAGGTAGTCTCTCTCAAGAACCGGCCGTCCTGCCTGATTCTTCTCGATTCATCAACTCGACATCGCAACGACGCATCCCACCCATCCTCGCTCATTCACGGGCTGAGTACTGCTTCCTGTCCTCACTTGACTAGCTGAGTAATGCTTCCTGTCCTCACTTGACGGGCTGAATACCTGATCACGATTACCGATGTGACAAGTCAACGTTTTTACCTTCCCGAGCCCAAGACGTGAAGTCAAGGACGACTCTCAAGTGAGTTAGGTGAGCGAGACGATAAGAGCCTGCGAACATACTTGAGAAATGATGATCGATAGCTCGATAGCATCGTATCTCCATGACACCCTTTTCACAGAAGTCTCATGTAGACAACGAGGCAGTGAGGCTTGAACTAGAGGCAAGAGAATCATTTTATCAAAGTGACTTGATAGCTGAGTCAGAGACTACTCCGTGCCAAGACTTTGAAGATACTCGACAACATCTGAGTGATTATTGAGTCTTGCTTCATCATTACAAGTTTTTCCATCCAAGGCTTTCTGCAGCAGAAGCTGCTTCCCGCATGTCTCTGCCAGGTATCGCAATGTCTCCAGATGCCCTTCATGACTTGCAGTATGTGCGCAGGTTTTACCAGCTTTGTCCTTGTCCCTCAGCAGCTCCTTTCCGCACGTCTCACCGAGGTACCGTAGTACCCCTACATGCCCGCCATGACTCGCTCCATGCGCGCATGTCCTCCTGCGTTTGGTCTTGACTCTCAGCAGCTCTTCCCCGCATGTCTCTGCGAGGTACTCAAGCACCTCCAGGTGACCCCCGTAGCTTGCATCATGCGCACATGTCCTGCCTTCATCGTCCTTCTCTCGCAGCAGCTCTTGCCCGCATGTCTCCTCGAGGTATCGCAGTATCTCTACGTGCCCCGCTTGACTCGCCTCATGTGCGCATGTCCTACTGCGGTTGTCTTTGTCGCATCCTCCAGCTTTGAGCAGCGGTATCAGCTCGCCCTGTCCTCGTATGACTGCCCTCACTGTCGGAGGCTCCGCTTGGTCCTCTTCGCTTGAGATCGACAAGCCGTACATCCCACACAACCGTTTGCTCAGCTCTAGTCTGACGTCATCGCCTGCTGGAGTAAGCGAGCTGATCTTGTACATCAGACCCGCCATCGTCCTCCAATACACTGATCTCATCACTTCGTTGCCAAGACTGGAACACTTGTTGTCTCCCGTGGTATCTTCGATCCAGTGTCTGAGCTTATTGATCGCCATGTCTTTCATTGAATTTGACAGCTCGATCGCCTCCTTGTACCTCGAGTCCTCGTTGTACCACTCCGCCTCCCTCCCTCTGCTTACCTCCACCATGGCCCGACATTCTCTCTCTATCGAACGGAAGAGAAACTGTGAAAGATTAGAAAGTCTATCCCTGAAAGCAGACCTCAACCGCTCCTGGATCCTCCCTGCACAACCCACAAGCTCTCGTTCTACCTCCCTCGCGATGTTCTCCAACAGCCCCACGTACAGCTGCTTCCTTTTCCCCAGCATCTCTTCGATCGTCGAGCTCGTCGTGTTCGCGTTGATCCTCAGCGTCAGCACCTTCACTCTCTCTCCTTCCATCATGCTGTATCGCGATTCCTTCAGCACCTCCAAGTACGACAGCGGCGGAAACAACATCTCCTCCTCTCCCGGATACTGAGACAAAAACGCCAAGCTCGCCCCCCGGTCAATCGCTCCGCAGCTGATCTCCAGCAAGATCGGCTCTTCCCCCTTCCCGGCGTACTGGATCGCCGTCCCAACGTCTGTCGTCGTGCTCAGCAGCCCGTACTCGACTCCTCCTGACACCCCAAGCCCGTCCTCCTTCAGGAAGCTCTCCGGGAGCCTCATCCCCTTCACTCCCCTCCACACTCGCCGATCCTCCGGTAGAGGCGAGTGTAGTGACAGCTTGACGACGCCGCTGACGACGCAGTGGATGGTCGTCGTGTACCTGTTGGCGACCTTGTCTGGGGCTCGCAGAGAGATATTGTACTTGTGGTACATCTGTCCTGTCGTTATGTCAAACCTGTCAGTCTCTCCTGCCTTCCCCGTCCCCTTTCCCTTTCTCCCTCACCCGTACCTGTGTAAAGCTGCAGCGCTATCAGCTCCTCTTCTCGCAGCTCCGCCTTGATCGACATTTCGAGCTTCTTGAGCTCCTCCATCGCTCGGATGACCCGCGTGCCGTCCGACAGCCTTCGCCTCCTGTCCGGGTCTATGACGTTGAGCCACTCCTCCTTGGCTGTCGTCCTGATGTTGTAGTTGCTCGTTGTGAACGCTTCCTCCGAGTCCTTGCCCTTGCAGTGCTCCTCCTCCATCCCCTTCATCAGCTCCGTCTGAGGTAGCCCGATCCGCCCTATCAGCCCCCCGAAATATTCCTTGATACCGCCATACACGGCCTCCTGTACCTCCCTGCTGCCTTTCGCGTTATCTGACTCATTGAGCGAGTACTTGCTGTTGTTGACGTGCAACGTCTGACCGTCTCCTCTCGCCTTCATCGGCCTCTTGAGCGCCTCCTCGAGCCTCCCTGCTATCGCCGTCTGCCATAGAGCCGACAGAGCGCTGGCTGTCATCCCCTGCAGCCCCGCAAGAGGACTCTCTACATTCCCGCCGGGGATGCACTCCGCCATGACTCGGAGGATCTTCAGGTCGTCGAGGCTGCTGGCCTTGCGCTTGATCTCCCACTCTCTTGCGACTCTGACCTCAAAGTCTCCGTAAGAGAGCTCCTCAGAGCCTGCGTGCTGCATGAGGGTGGACACGTCGATGCCCAGAGATAGGAGGAGGTCGTTGTCGAGGAGCTTGAACCGCTGCTGGTCGTGGGAGAGGTGGAAGAGCTCGCGCAGGGAAGTTCGAATCTCGTTAGGGAGGGGCCAGGTCAGCTCCTGCTGGGGAACGAAAGGCGACTGTTCGGGCTTTGTGGAAATGAGGGAGAGAGCAGAGATATGGTGCTTGAGCACTTGGTTCCTCGCTTTGAGCCTCTCGATCTCCAGCTGCAGCGCCAGCACTTCCTCCTTCCTGCCTCCCTCCATTAGGGGGGCCTGTCCCTTAAGTCAGTTATGTGAAGCAGACAGAGACAGGTGAGAGGCAGAAAAGCAAAGGCATCAATGAAAGAAGAATAGTTTGAGTCTTAAGAATGAAGAAAATTCCACAAAAACAAATAGAAAGGGAAAAATGAAACACAAGGATGGGTGGAGTGAGAGAACTTGCAGGATGCTTAATCACCCTAGCAAAAAAAGCCGGTCTAAGGAAGCTAGTGGAGATCAGCAAAGAGGCACAAGAAGGTAGACAAAACGCAAGGTCAAGAGAAAGGTCAGATGCAGATGGAGTGAAGAGGACAGATGGCGTAAAGCTAACTCAATCATCACTATAAAAAATTACGAGGTACAGACTGACCGACCGACCGACCGACCGACCGACCGACCGACCGACTAACTGACTGATGACCCCAGCTAACTCCATCCTCCTCCCTTCTCTGTCACTCGCAGGTCTTTTTTGCAACTACTCTCTCCTCTCCTCTCCTTGATTTTCCTAATTGGGACTCAGCGAAAATGCTGCTGCAGTCATCACCATGGAAGGATGTGTAGGTTACAAGAGACTCAGTAGTTGCATCATGTCGTGCTGGAAAGTGAGATTTTAATGACATCTGTAACATTTCATTGATGATGTACTTTGACTATTGAATACGGTAACCGTACCATACGTCAGATACAATCTTCATGGCCATCATTGATCAGTGAAAAAGGCTTTTGTGGTGATGAACCATGTGCAATGGATTCAAACTTGTATGTATGTCAACCCTTTTCGAAGCCAGGGAAAATGTTGATTGTTAGCGAGATATTGATTCATCTCAGCCAATATCTATGTCATCTGCTGTGAGAGGAACTGGTGAATATGGCCCATCAACTTTAGACTGGAGTGACAGCCATCAATTTTATTATCAGAAAGAGAGTAATTTGCATCAACAAGCTGTGTTCAGGCACTCCAGTCTAAAGTTGATGGGCCATATCCCCCAGTTCCTCTGACAGCAGTTGACTTAGATATTGGCTGAGATGAATCAATATCTCGCTAACAATCAACATTTTCCCTGGCTTCGAAAAGGGTTGACATACATACAAGTTTGAATCCATTGCACATGGTTCATCACCACAAAAGCCTTTTTCACTGATCAATGATGGCCATGAAGATTGTATCTGACGTATGGTACGGTTACCGTATTCAATAGTCAAAGTACATCATCAATGAAATGTTTACAGATGTCATTAAAATCTCACTTTCCAGCACGACATGATGCAACTACTACTGAGTCTCTTGTAACCTACACATCCTTCCATGGTGATGACTGCAGCAGCATTTTCGCTGAGTCCCAATTAGGAAAATCAATTAGGAAAACTTGAGTGAATATTTACTCAATCATATAGGACTCTGACTATATAACCTCCGGAAGGTCCCGCCTATATAGGTAAATATTTACTTAAATTGTTGCTGGAAGGGAAAGGAGCATGCCAGCGCGATGAGTTAGAGGAGGAGTAGGCCGCCTCTGAGGACAGAAGCAAACCCCAGCTGTAGGCGACAGTGAGAGGACAGAAGCAAACCCCAGCTGTAGGCGACAGTGAGAGGACAGAAGCAAACCCCAGCTGTAGGCGACAGTGAGAGGACAGAAGCAAACCCCAGCTGTAGGCGACAGTGAGAGGACAGAAGCGAACCCCAGCTGTAGGCGACAGTGAGAGGACAGAAGCGAACCCCAGCTGTAGGCGACAGTGAGAGGACAGAAGCAAACCCCAGCTGTAGGCGACAGTGAGAGGACAGAAGCAAACCCCAGCTGTAGGCGACAGTGAGAGGACAGAAGCGAACCCCAGCTGTAGGCGACAGTGGCGCATCAAGGAGCTTGGACACAATGAAACGCAGGGTCCCCTGTATACTCATCCTTGCTTACAGGGTTTATTTTTGGTGGTACTTTCGGATTATAGTAGAGTAGGCGTAAAAATGCGTATAGAAGAAGAGGGAGGAGATGAGAGCAGCAGAAAAGAGCAGAAACTCTTGCTGAAAATCGCCAGCTGTCAGGATCTTGCATGATGAAGTCGTTGCGCATGCTGATGATGAGGGAATGAAAATCACAGGTAGAGGAAAGGAAAGTGATAAGTATTGGGCGAGAGAGATGAAGGGGGTAGATGAAGACCAGGTGATGATGAGTTGTGGCAGGGAGCTGGGAGCAAACAAGGTGATCGCATGCGAGTCTAGCTCATGTCCCGACTACATATTTGCTTTGCAACAGCCTGTTTGCTAGGGATGATCGTCACCAGTAGCACTGCTACTCGTCCAATTTCAACTAGTGAGAAATCAAGATCGTCAACTAAGTCTCACAATCATTTCTCCAAGCGACCGCGGAGGAGTGCAGATGGATCTTTGGGCTATTCTGCCATGCAGGATCCTTACATCAAATACCTGATGGAAGAGCTTCAGAAATGCAATGACGAGCGCAAATTTGCGAAACTCAATCTGGAGCTAAAGGCGGCACTAGAAAGGCTGGCGTTGAGGGAAGAGCGTCTGAGGCTTGAGGGGATGATGTTTACGTGCCAAAACCCGGAAGGGAAGGAGGAGCTAAAGGCGGCACTAGAAAGGCTGGCGGTGAGAGAAGAGTTGATAAGGCATGAGGAGAATTTCAGAGAAGAGCTAAGGAGGGCTGAACAGAATATGAAAGAAGAGCGTCTGAGGCTTGAGGGGATGATGTTTACGTGCCAAAACCCGGAAGGGAAGGAGGAGCTAAAGGCGGCACTAGAAAGGCTGGCGTTGAGGGAAGAGCGTCTGAGGCTTGAGGGGATGATGTTTACGTGCCAAAACCCGGAAGGGAAGGAGGAGCTAAAGGCGGCACTAGAAAAGCTGGCGGTGAGGGAAGAGCGTCTGAGGCTTGAGGGGATGATGTTTACGTGCCAAAACCCGGAAGGGAAGGAGATGCTGATATTGAGATGGAAGCAATTTGAGAGACAAATTTATCGAACACCAATACAACTATCATCGTTCTTAGCAATCAGGAAGATACCAGAATACAGTAACAATTCCGAGTTTATCAGGTTTCCAGCCCAGTATCTAAAACTTGCCGGTGTTGGGGAACATTTAGCGGAGAAGGAAAATGATAGCATGGATGCTATGGTATATTGTCGACAGGCAGTCCAAGAGCAAATGAAATTCATGCAAGAAGCAGTGATGAAGAGAGGTTGCTTTGGATGGGTGAATGGATCGCCAGGGACAGGAAAGTCATTGACGGCTCTTGCCTTTTGTCTCGGACTTAACAGTAGCGCATGGAATGTTTGCTGGCTTCATTTGTCAATGTTCAATTTACCGGAAGGGCTTCTCAGGAATGAGCAAGGTGTTCGCGCAGTAAAACTATTAAGATACTCTGATGAAGACATGCTGAGTGGCTTGGGACTGAATGAGTTCAATCGTCCAGGGTTGATCATTCTAGATGGATACCGGAAGACGGAGCGATATGAGTTGCTGATTGAATTACTGAGTGATTGGCGAAATCAAGACAAGAGTATGCGTCGTTTACTTGTTGTGACTTCTATGTCAGGGAACATTAAAATTCAAGGAGGAGAAGATACTAGACTTGGAATGGAGTTTTTCTTTGTCAATCCATGGACAGAGCAGGAATATCTTTCTGCCATAAAGTGCAACGAGTTCTACGAATTAGTGAAGGAAAACCTTGATACGGAGATGTTCCTGGAATCTCATGGCAAGAAGAGTGATCGTAGCATCCGTAGGATCAGAATTCGATCGAAGTATTTTTATGCTGGAAAGTCATCAAGGTGCATGTTTGCATGGAATACGTCAGAGGTGATAAAACGACTTAGACGAGCCTTGACTGCTGTCCAAGACTTTGAATCACATATGAGTTCGGGAACGCAGTCTCCAAATTTGATCGACGGCCTGTTCTCAGTAAGAAGAGATGCTGTCAGCCAAAGTGATTGCCTGACATTTGTCAGTGAATTTGTGGCATTCGAATTTGCCATTCGTATGGGCCCAGACCGATTAAGAAAGTGCGCAGCATTGTTCGAACCAAATGACCCGATAATGCAAGGGAAATTTTTCGAAATATTGTTTTTTGCCACGATTGCTGCACAAGACCTTAAGATTTTCTGGAGAGTTGGGGGAAATGGCACAAAAATCTGGCCTAAAGGTGTGGTCAAGATAGTGTCAAACAATTTCGATCAGACTTTTTTCGATGGGAATGAAAATGGTTTGTGGGCAAAGCCATTGAACTTCAATCATCCAGCCTATGATGGTGTTTTTCTGAACAAGACAGATGGATCAGTGCGCTTCGTGCAAGTAACAATCGCCAAAGAGCACTCGTTCAATCTTGCTCCATGTGCAAAGTTCTTGGAAAAAATGACAAATATCGGCTTCTGCGTCAGAAATGTGGAATTCTACTTCGTTGTGCCTAAAGCACTTGAGCGATTCAAGGTATCAAATTTTTCTAATCCTAGCGCATTGACAAACTATGGTTGGGAAAATGGTGCGGAATGGAACAAGATTCAAGTAATAGGCATCGATATCAATTAGCTATTGTGGTCTAGAGTGTGATACAAGCTGCTGCTCTGATCAATAGATTTCTATTAAACGCCTTCTGGTTCCCATCCGAATTTGTGGCGAATGAGCATACTTTCAATGAAGGTTACATTCATGATACATCATTACATTCGATTGAGTATTCATCAGAGAGTCCATTTTGAAGAGAGCTTCCAGAATGATGCTAACCTCTGATGAATCTCAAGTCGTTACTACGCTCTTCCCAACCTCGTATCATATCCTTAGATATTCCACCTGAAACTTGATCTGTTCAAAGTGGACGGCCTTCCTATATCTTGTTCCTTTCTGAGCTTCCCTCTCGTTCATCGTTCTCAAAGCAGAAGGGGCAAGCAGAAGGATGCTTGTGCATGACCCGTCTGCTTGAAGTGCTTCTCATCTCCGACCGGAAGAACGTCTCTCGACCAACGAGTTTGATGTCGACCTTCTCGTAGCAGCAAAAGAAATC